ATACTATTAGCAAAAAATAGTAAGACTTTTYTCATAATTTTAAAATTTTTAATTTATTGTCGTGTCGCTCAAAGAAATTCCCCTTGGTCCCAATACACTTGTGCCAACGTTTTTTTCAATCCTCGAAACAGTTGTTAAAGTCAATATCCGGAATAATCATCAATGCGCGTAGCSATTCACGTTTAATGTCTTCAATTGATTCAAAACGTTTTCCCCGGAGCGATCATTTGAGTTGGCTGAACAGCCAGAAGTCACACGGAGCTAAATCACACGAATATGGTGGTTGTAGCACGATATTGGTTTAAAATTTGGCGAAAAACTCACGAAGAATCAATGCAGTATGTGACGGTGCATAACTGTGGTACACCGATTGATCGTCTGTTTCGGGATCGTGAGCATAGATCCAAGGCTCAGGTCCAGTAATAATACTTTTCATGACATTCTGGTGGTCATAAAGTATTGTTTCACAGACGTTTAAGCGTCGCTGTTTTTCGAAAAAATTTAGGGATTTGGAGAATCATTTTTTTTTATGTTGGTAGTACTGTCACATTTATGTCAAATTTCATGTCAAAATATTCATTAGTGTTTGAGATACGTGTCGTTTTGTGAGCTGCGTGAGTGAGTTTTTCGTTTTTTGCGATGTAGAAATTTGTTGAGCAAAGAATTTGCATTCAATGATCATTTCGCCAAAAACTCAACCCATATCGTTCCRCAACCACCGTATTCACCTGATCTGGTGCCGTGCGACTTCTGGCTGTTCATCAAGCTCAAAAGACCGCTCCGGAGAAAACGTTTTTATACGATAGAGGAGATTCAAGCCGCAGAGAAGACGGAACTGAAAGCCAACCCAGAAAGGGACTACAACCAGTGTTTCGAAGATTGGAAAATCCATTGGCATAATGTACWACATCTAGTGGGGATTACTTTGAAGGTGATGAAATTGATTTGGAAGAATAAATAAAGAATTTTCAAAATAAACACAATGTCACCTTATTTTTTGTATATCACATCAAAAACCAATTGATTCATTATAATGCTATAGAATGAGGCTTAAATAATTAGTACTTCATCGAATGACCGTCGTTGGATAACAAGACTGCGTATCTCCTCAGCATGGAGTCCAACAAACGTCTGCATTTCTCGTGAGAAATGACCTCCCACGCTTCCTTCACAGCATAACTGATTCGAATTTGACGCGTTCTTTCTCCCTACAGTTTTTTGAGCTTTGCCTAAAGATTCTCAATTTGAATAAGGTCAGGCGATTATCACCCAGCTCATAACCTCAATCCCATTTGAAGTAAAACAGTTTTTTTTCCAACTTACTCGTATGCTGGGTMGCACCCATATTTTCTTTAATCCAATATAACGGACCTCTACCGTAGTAAGCATATACGTTGGCTTTGGCGACACCATATATGTATGAATTACTCGGGGAACATTTCTAGGATCAAATGAAGCATCTTTTGGCCTTCGTATATCTTTCTTCGCCMATGGCAACCAAATAAAATAACTTTCGTTTCGTCGGACCAGAATATTTGGCGACATTTTTTAACTGTCTTCACATGCCGGGGTTGAAGTAGTGGCTTCCTCTTTGGGCTCCTGCTGGAAAGTCCAGCTGCTAGAACATATTTTCTTAATGTTTTTTTTTTAGATATAAAATGGCTTTTCACAGTCCAAAATCACAACTTTTCTCAACAGGGGACGCGAAGAGTCTCATTCCGTCGTCTTTTTTCGGGATTTGGCTTATATTTTTTTGCATTCGTAACCATTTTGGTAGACCATCTGAGTAAATATTTGAAAAACTTGTAAGATCTCCTTCACCTAACAATTTTTTGAAAATTCCCATTTTTGCAATAAAAAGAGTTTTAAAATTTAAAAAGCGATTCTACAGTTGTTTTCTTTCGGTGTTTTGAGGCACCGTTATTTATTTTTGCTAACATTTTCTAGACCCGTGTCTTTTTTTAGTGATTAAAAAAAGTATGGGATCCAACGGGAACAAATTTGTTTACAGAGAAATAACCATGTAATATTGAATGTTTGCTGAACTATCTCCGAGAAAGTTGTAAAAAAAAGTCACGCGAAAATGTTCGTCATTTAATTCCATTTTTTTGCTGAGATGAATATTTTAAGTTACAACAACTCCTAGCATGCTTTTATTATTTTTCTACTCCTTAATTGTGATTTTTATAGCGTCTTTCGGTCGTTTTATTATATTTTATCTTTTTAAGTGATTTCCTATAAATTTAAAATCTTTTCTCCAACGTATATTTTATTTCTATGTCGTTTGATTTTTTTTAAAAGCTCCATCGTATACTTATCATTATGTATTAATAAAGCTTTCAATGAAAAATTGTTCCTTCCGAAAAAAGAATTATTCGCAATCATTTAYCATTAATACACATATTGACATTAAGATTTCAATATCCTCGATAGTATAGTGGTCAGTATCCCCGCCTGTCACGCGGGAGACCGGGGTTCAATTCCCCGTCGGGGAGATACGAKTAATTTTTTTTTCCGTTGTAAAAGCTTTTATTTATTATTGAGAACAAATTTTTTAAATAGTATAACTAAGTTATTTTGATTTATTTATTTAAAGATTTTAATTTATAAAAATATATAATATATTTTTGTATAAAAGGGAAATTATGTAAGTTTTGAATTATTTTGTGCAATAATTTCATTTGGTGAGTAGGCGCTTCTTTTTCTATGAACTGTGTCTATGTCAACCTCATTAAATCCACACCAATGGGGACTAGTAGAGTTCGTTTAACATTAGTTACAGGTTTAAGCGCTATGTTGTGGAGGAGATCATAGCTTTGGTTAACACTTAAGCGGAATGACTTTTCATTTATGTATGTATATACATTCGGTAAATATTTTTATAAAATTAATTATATAATAATGAAGAAAAAAATTAGCTGCACTCGGTTTATTAATAAATACATTTATATATGTAAACGAACGTACACACATACAAACATATAAGAATGCACATACATATTACTGCTTTTATTTTATGATTAAAAAAATTAGTTTTTCGGTTTTTATAATTTTTATTTAGCCAATATACATATACAAATATAAGCCGTTTTAATTTTGTAGAAATATTCGGTTATCGCTTGTTTAATAAATTTCCATTTCATTTATGAATTTATTGTTGTTATAAAGTAAACTCATTATAGAAGACTCCAAATATTTCCATTGCACAAAGACACCAAAATGTTATTAAAATACTTTGTTAATACAAAAATTTTGAAAACCCTAATCAAAACATTTTATTACAATTAATGTAAAACGTTAGTTATTTAGTTGGTATTGGAATTTCATTGCTTAAAATTTCTCTAAACAASCTTGGTCCTCTTATTAGTTCCCAAGCTCATTAGTAATAATTCCTTTGTATTGCAATTTCATTAATCAATTAACTTTTTATTTCTTTTTTTTTTACTTTTACACTTTATACACGTTTAAATATTGTATGCAAAGAACTACACGTAAAACATAGCACGTACTAGTACATATAAATACATATGTATATTTATATACATACTATATATGTATGTTTAAAATTAAACCACATTCTTTGGGCTTAAAAAATAAGGAAATTTCGTGTTAAATAATCTTCGTTAAACATAATGATTTCAGTGTTTTATAAATGCTATACAATCGTTTTTAAAATATATATGCTTTAGGTTAGTGTTAAAACATGCAATTGACTTTTATGAATATAAATATGTATACAATTAGGTAGTGCGCACAACAATTAACTTAAGCATACAACCACTTTCAGGCGTTAAGTAAGCAAGTATAAGAAATTGCTTTGCTAGCAATTACATATCCTCCGTTTCTGACATTTCCAAGTCGGAGTCATCGAAGTCGATGATCTAAAAATATAAAAAGTGTTTAATAACATTTTTTAAATAATGTTTTATATATATATATTTGTTTTAAATTATTATTTCTCTTTATTTCACACTCACTGCACTATCCAATGCCTTAAAATCGGAGATGCCAGTCAAGTCTTCTAAATATTTGGCCGTTTCGAACGCTTTGAATAAAAATGCATTGCCTTGCGCGCGATATTCCGCAATTATTTTCTGCGAATAGAGAAGTGTGAAATATTCATTATATACATGTACAAAGGTATACAAACAGTTAGTTATTTATAAAATTACTTACCTCCGAACATGCAATGCACTGGGAGAATTTCTGCGTTGCCGGCAAAATATTTTCGAAATTGCTCAGCTGGCCGCGTATCGAGTGCGGTATGATGCCGAGTAGCCCCTCTGGCTCTTTGTAATTCGATTTGTCGTTAGCACAATAGTAGGCGGGTGCATGGTTGCGCAGTGGATGCTGCAGGAGGGACACCAACAGTTCGACTGCATAGCTAGCGGCAATACACGATACACCTGGTCGTGTAACGGTACATTGCTGATCCAGTGTGCGATCCTTGAGCGACTGAAGTTAGAAAAATATTTGGAATGTTAATTTGGAGTATAAATTTAATTGATATTTATTTGATATGGTTTAGAGTACARTTATATCCACATATTTAGGAGAGAGTAAAGAAGACATTGGTTACTTTTTATATTGYTGTGGAGGAGCTATAGGGAAAAGGTGGAGACTCTCAATAAAGGGTAAGTCCGCTCTTCATCAATTTTAGCTTTAACCTGACGTGAAATACGAAAGCTGCTCTGCAGAAACCCCCTGCGAAAAGTATGGATCAAAGGTTTTTAGACGTTTTTTCTCGGGTCTAGACTTCAAATAAAATAACCTATAATCATATATACTCATGTTTATCATAAGTAAAAATTATTGGATTTTATATAATATTTTGCAATTTTTGAATATTTTTTTATTAATTATTATATTATATTTTTTTATCATACTAATTGAAAGCTGGAGAATAACCTTAAGTTAGCTTTAAGAATTTATCAGAATAAAAAATAAATAAAATAAAAAATGTAGTGGGGTGTGATCCTCAAAACCAAACTTAAAATTTTCAAAACTATATATAAGTGGAGTCCGTTTAACATTTGGTTCAGGTGTAAKCGCCATGTTATTGAGTGTTATGGTCTGTTTTGTTTAACAGTTAAGCCGAATGACGTTTCATTCATGTTTATACATTCGGTGGATCTTTTTGTTACAAAATAACCGTCACTGAAAAAAAGAGCTGCAATTGGGTTATAAAAAAATAAATTTGTATTTGTAAATATAGATACCTACATATATGAATGCGCATGCATATGATTGCAATTTGTAAATGTTTAGTTTGAGTGACTATTATTTGTTTGTTTTGAGTGCAAAAGTGCCCGGTGAACACAACGAAGGTGTAAAATTTTAAGACAAAACAGAGAGAAGAGCGCTGTGGCATWCATATCAAACGGTGAGCAATGAGTTAATAAATTGCTAAGCTGCATGTAAAGAGCCAAAAGAGATCTTTGTTAAATGTGACGTAAGAAGAAACAAGTTTCAAATAAACAAAAATTGAATAAAAACATACAATTACAAAAAGTSAATTAATTAGAGATGTTCGTGAACACGCACAACACGCAGGCCGCAGACAAATGCGAACATGGTATGTAGAAATGGCAAAAACGGCTTACGGTGTATTTTTGTGTAAATAAGTGTAATGAATTCGCGTAAAATAATAATTATTTTTATAAACGGAAATGAGAGTAATAATGTTTGCAGTCGCGGTAGGTCAAGCGAAACTATTGCGATTCGAGAACACATTCACTGGCGCGCTTGTGTTGACTGCAGACGCTATCGGAGGTGCTGCTACGTGGAATTTGCAAGCATGAGATTGAGCAGCAAATGCCGGTGGGAAAATGTTAACAAAATGACAAAAAACGTGTGTTTAAATATCTGTTTTGTGGAAAGATATGTATAGTAAATAAATAAAGCTGGTAAAACAGCTGAGTATTTTTATGAGTACGGAGTGTAACAACAAGTGCAACAGTTGTGTGTGGAGCTTGATTGAAACAAAGTTATAAACAGATACTAAGGTGTGAGAGCAAAAAATATAAATTAAATAAATAAAGAGCAACAAGGAAAGAAAAATGAATAATGAAAACAAGTTAAAAGTTAAGCAAACAAAACAAAAAATAAAATATAATCGAAAATACAACAATTAATACCAAATTTCCCCGCAGCACTAAAGCATACCAGCAACTGCTTATTTAATGATTAGATAAAATTCAAAACAACAAAAGAACATAGTCAAAGCACAAAAGTTACAAATACGCTTAGTGGCGACTACACATACTGCGATAGCAGTAAAGAACACATTATCAACGTTAAAGCAGATACTTAAACACATACGTACAATGTGCATATGTATGTAAATGTGTACTTATTAAAACTTTAAAATATCTAGACAATATGCTGATAACATTTACGGTTTTTACCTTTTGCAGTTGATTTTTGCCTTTTGCGAAGTGCGGCCGAAACTGTTTTGTGTTGTGCGAACGTGCGGGTTTATAATAAAATCAATATAAATAATAAAAAAAAAATAAAAAAAATTTAATATAAGCAAATATGTTAACAGAATTCGCGGGCAATTTGGCACATCACCTGGAATTTGGTCATGCCTTGGAGATTGTGGCGAAGACCATAGACAGCGCCTCAAGGTAAACGGCGAGTGTGCTTGCTCCAGTTCAACATATGTATGTATGTATGCATAAACAAACGACCGTTTCAATTAACTGACACGCATAGTTTTTGGCAAAACATGCATTACATTTTCTCATGCGTTTCATTTGTAATTACAATAAATSTTTTAATTAGAGGTGTTTTTAAAAATTCGTATGGTTATCAACTATCAGTGATGAGCAATACGCTAAGTGACGTGTTGGACAAATACATGCAATCATTTGTGAGCGTTTAACAAAAGTAATGMTATAGATAGTGTAATCTACTTTCGTAATAATGAATAATCAACACTGATTATATAGGTACACATTTATGAATTTATTGATCGCAAACATTTGAATTTAACTATTAATACATTTTTATTAGGTGTGAGTAGTGTTTGGGTTATTATTTACACAACTGAAGTAAAAGCCTTACAACAATAAGAAAACACAGCTTTTTGGGTAAAAACGGTCGTGTGCAAAGTTTCAGTTCGATATCTTATATATATATAGGATTAGGGATTATTTTGCGTATATACAGAAGGGTAGACAGACGGACATGTCAATCGACTCAGCTTGTCACGCTGATCRTTTATATCTATAATTTATACTGTCTCCGATGTTTTCTTTTGGGTTGTATAAGCTTAGTATTCCCTGTTCAGGGTATAATCATATATATAAAATATAAAATTTATACATATTATGCTCTCACAGCGGCTTTGCTGGCTAGGTCATGTTGTCCGAATGGACGAAAACACTCCAAGTCTGAAAGTATTCGATGCAGTACCATCAATCCGTTGGAGGGACCAAGTGGAGAAGAACCTGGCTTCGCTTGGAATATCCAATTAACACGATGTAYCGAAAAGAAGAAACGAATGGCGCGCTGTTATTAACTCGACTATAATAGCGTAAGCGCTGGTCACGCCAGAAAAGAAGAATAATGCTCTCAAAACATTTTTGTTTCAAATCGAAAACTTCAGTTTGAACGAAAACTCTCAAATAAGCGTAATAAAGCGTAATAAAGCTCTTTCTTGCCAGACAATGTTAGGAGCCTCTCTCTCTTTTTAATTTTTTTTTTTGCGGAAGAAAAAGCTATTCTCTCAATACTCGGATAATTAATGAATCAATTCTAACAAAGTAAAACCCAACCCCTTCAGACAACCCTGTTCATTGCTAGGAGTGGGCAGTTAATGGCATAAATTAAACAGCTAATTACACAAATATCAATCTTTAGTTAAGCGTTACAACAACACTAAAACAATAGCTCGATTTTACTGACAGCAACTAATAAGCTACTGAGATGATTATACCKCAACGTTTTCCAGATTGTTGTAACAGCATTGAGTCGGGTTTTCGTTTGAACTTCATTCTAAATGTTACAAATAGAGAATATCTAATTCAAATCTGAAGGAAATCAGGGTCTAAAGAATACTGTTATCTCTTAATTAACCAGCACAAGAGGCCTTTCGCTTAGAACGYTAAAAAATTAGTTAATTGGTGGTTGCAATTGTAATTGGTAACAATCAACGGTATAAACTTAATTTGTAGTATACATTTAGGCGCATGAATAAAAAAAAAGGAGACGGGAGGATAGATTCCAACAAATATTATCAGTTTACGCAAACAGCTTGGGTAATGCTTTGTGAACTACTAAATTTAACCGTTAGAAAATTGAAAAAAGTCGTTTGTTTATATACATATAGACATGTAAGTAAATGAATCGTGCATTTTTGACTAATTAACATAATTAATTCGCCTCAAGATTTCAAATCAGTTTGTCGACGGCCAAAGCGGTGATAGATCCAAATGCCGACATCGGTTTGCGCTTCGCTTGCTACTTTCGCAAGGATATAATTGTGCGCAATGCACGGATCGGTGGCGTATGGGGCCCGGAGGAGATACATGACATTGAAGGTCATTCATTGCARAATCCTATTGAGTCGGGAGAGTTTTTCGTAATTTACATACTCGCTTGTGAGGAGAAATTTCAYATAGCGATCAACAATCGACCCTTTTGCACATTCAGATATCGCATGCCACTCCAGACGCTTCGCAGCATCGAAATAAGCGAGCAAATACAGGTGATTAAGCAGGTGGATCATCGCGCTGTCTTCCCCTATCCCTGGCCAGCAATACAATCGTCCGATTTTGGCAAAGCTTTCAGTAATGATTCGCCGATAATGTTCAGCCCCGGGCATTTGATTGTGATAACCGCGCGTTGTTTCGATAATAAGAAGGGACAATTTATAATTAAATTTTTGGATAGCGACACGAAACGTGAGGAGCTGCATTTCAGCGTACGTTTCGATCAGAAAGCTGTGGTGCGCAATTCAATGAATAAGGCCTTTGAGTGAGTCTACTAAATTTTGTAAAAACTTTTAAATTTCTTTTCAATACACACATTGTATCTACACAGATTTGGACAAGAGGAGCGCCATGGCGGTTTTCCATTCGTCTTTAATCAGCAATTCAAGCTTGCCATCGCTTTTACGGAGCGCGAGTTCCTCACCGCCGTGGACGGCTATAACTTCTGCAGCTATGCCTATCGCACAACAAATGTATTTCAAAATGTTGTCGGCTTCAAGGTCACATGCATAAATGGCTTRCACATACATGTGACGGGTGTGGACCACTTGCAAATGGGGGACCTCTCTTGCACGGGTTTCGAAAAGTATTCAAAGCACGACTACGAATGTGCTTAGCACCAACTATTCCGTAAACAAAATTTTCTTGTCTCACACATTGAATATAAGTATAAATATTTTTTGTACAAAACTATTAGTTATGCCTAGTATTTCAAAGACGAAATAAAAATCGCCTACGAATAATACATAATTCAAATACTTGTACTTACATTTCCTGGCGCTGTGACGTCGTTGCAGAAGTAACAACCCAAATTGCCTCCACCGATACACTTCAGATCACCTATATCTATTGGTTGCGCAGCATCACCAGCTGCTTCGTTGTTTGGCGAACCAGCGCCGTGACGCATCACCAAGTAGCTGTCAAAGCCTAAGGCGGCATTGATAACTATCTGTAAAAAWAAGTATAGAAAGGTAATAAAAAAGGAGTAATTATCATCGGCCACTAAGCAATTGCAGCGTATCACTCTACACGCACCTTTTGAAAAGTATTGCCCAGCAGTGTAGGCAGCCAACGGCTYTCGCGTGAATCGGTCAGCAAGAAAATGGCATCATGCTCCTCCACTAAACTTTTGATAATGTTCAAATCTTCATTGGTTTGTTGCTGCATCGATGCGCCTATGGTGTGACCCGGCATTGGTATTTGCATGACATGCCCCGTGGAGACCTAAAAAGTGAAATATATAGTTTTACAACTACAAATCACCACTACATAGCTACTAAATTTACGCACAGCAGTTGGATTGATTTCCTGCACACGCTTGGCCGCCGTCACCGCCTTCATTGCATTGCCAGCARTGGCATCTGCGTGCGTGTAGAGCGTTTGCCGCAATGGATTTGAATAGCTGACACGACCATTATCCAGAAACGTTAAATGCTTAAAGCCCCAAGCGAGTAAATTGCGCGCCACGTTACAACCGAGTGTGCCGGCGCCAAACAGTAAACATTTTGTGTTTGCAATTATGTCTAAATTCAAATCAGGCACTAAACGCCATTTCATCAGTTTCAAATTCAAGTTTATGGCACTTTCGACTAGACTGGAAATTAAAAAAAAGGAAATTGTTTACAAATAATGTTTTGATTATTTTGCTGTTACCACATGAAAACTTACATTTTAGGATCCATGCTGTCGCGCATCGACACCATACGTGGACCCATTTTATTATTGCGGTTTGGTTCCCAACCAACGAATGGCGTGCTCTCATCAAAACTCACTGGTTCCGTTTGTAGCACCGTCCAAACGAGGCTTTTGTCACATTTATTTTTACTATCGTAGCGCAAACCCAAAAATTTCACCGTTTTACCAACTAGGACGGGACTGTATATGTAATAAAATAAAAATTATAAATATTAACGAGAATCAGGTTTAAATTTAACTAACCATTTGTAAAAAATATACGCCGCATATACACGCATCACCCACGAGGGATGCTCGTATTCACTGGGGTCGGCGAAACCGAAATAAAGTTCATCACTTTGCTCTGCTAATGCCGTGCTAGTTGCAAGTAAATCTTTCAATGTATAAATAGAATCCTTTTCGTTGCTTTTGATTACAAAAAAATTTGGCTTTTCTGTTTGACTTTTAAGTAAACTTTCTAAATGCTGCAATTCTGGAATGTCTGACAAAGACTGTGGCGAGGAACCATTTTCAACTTTTAGTGTTGGTGTTAGTGGGCAGGGAAATGCAAACCAGTAGTAGTAATTGTAAGTAGTTAGATCCTGAAAGGGTATAAATTGTGCGGTTTAACAAAAATTAATTAAAATAATATCATGTATTATTTTTAAGATATATTATAACTTCAAAACATAAAGAAGAACGAGAAAAAAAATTATAATACCGGACAGATGTCATTGTTAAATCGAGTTATTTAGTCAGGCTGACAATTTATAAATATAAATTTGATATGACCTTTCGACGTTTTCTTTTGGGTGTTACAAACATCAGTTTGCCACTTAATATACATTTTTTTGAGGGTGTAAATATTAGCTAGTTCATCTCTACAAACATATGTATTAAGATTTCAACGGTTGCAGAAATCCACCCCGAATATTCAAAAACAAGTGACGTCATACTTAATAATATTTACATTACCGCAAATGAAAGAACAAAGAATCGCGCAAGTAATTTGGGGTCATCCAGTACACGGTCAGTTCGAAAATCATCCACCAATTTATGTCCCTCTAACCGCAACAACTCATTTTTATCACAAGCTTTGAAGTCTTCAATTGTATTTCGGTTGTACAGCGTACCGACGGCAGGGTAATATAGTCTTGGCGCCATAAAGTCGCTGGAATTTTCCAAGTGTTTTATTTACATTAGTAATTAGCGCACATCTATCTTAGATTATTTTTTTGGCTCATTTCATATATGAACTCACCCGTTAAAAGCAGTATAATCTGTTTCTAGCAGACATGCCTTTGCGTTGAAATTGGTGTAGTATGCAAAAATGTGCTTTGGCGCATCCGATAGTCGATCATGGTTCAATTTAATATCAGATAGTTTGTGCCAAAATGTTGGATTCACAAAAGATTGCAGTGGTGCGTATTGTAGGACGGTTGGGTCTGACATCGCGTACTAATTTTAGTTAACTGTCACTTTTAGATAACACTTTATTAATAAACTTTCTGTGCTGCTGATAATCCAGCCGTCGTCGTCGTTGGTTTTATCTCAAATATACATCTAGCTGTAGCAGCGCTCTAAAAATATTGTTCTTTGTGTCTACTCACGCAAGCGTATTTTGTTTATCTCACTTCGTATTGCTGGTGTTTTTGTGTACACAATGCCAAATCTAGACGCTGAGTAACTAAAATCAATATTCTATAGATAAAAGCAAAAGAAATATGTATTGTAATAAATGTTTCGAAAACAAAAACACAAACATTTGTAAAACGTAAATAAACACAAATCGCCAGCTGATGGAAACAACGATAATTGTGCTGCCACTTAAACTGAATTTCACGATTTAACCCGAAAATTACAACATGAAAAGTAAGCATTAATTCGCACACAAATATTTTTTTTGTTATTATTATTCATTAGAGTAATTTTAAATATAGCATTATTAATTTGATTTTGTACTTGACAGATGTTTATTCGAAAATAGTGAGAATATAAAATATTTGTTATTGTTGTCGTAACAACTTATGTCGTCTAAATAATTTTAAGGAACGTTGTCGCGCAAGCAGGCCTTGGTTGGGTGAAAGTTGTGCCATTCCCTTCGCGTCAAGTATATAGTCCTTGGAACGAAATTCTATTGTCATTCCTCGATTTAGAATGACAGTTCTATTTACAATTGAAGTATTTTATTAAAAGTTTTCTTATAAATACAACTAAAATATTAAATTAAATATTAAAATTTAAAAACCCTCCCTAATGTCCTCTATTGATTTCAATTTATTAGGACTTTTTTATGATTACATTTATAGAAAAAGTATTATAATTTATTCCATAATCACTATAGTTACATACAACCTTATATTACAATTAATAAAATCAATGCGCAGAATAATTACTTAAATATTTAATGCAAAATAAAATATTAAAAAGCAGTCTCGTACAACTGTGCAGCGGAGTCTGCATGAAAATCACGCAATTCTCTTTTAAAATCCCACTTTCATGAACCTACAATACAAATTTATTTTTTATCACCACATCTTTGCCATCAAATGTGATTTCATCCACGAACTGTTTTCTATTCACACGACACTGTACGCCACAACGCGTTGAGCCACAATTTTTGCACTCAAACCAACAACCTGGACACTTCTCATCCAAGCAATCGCAAATATCCATGCCATTATGACGCATGTGACCATATTCATCGTAAACGGTAGAACGTGAATTCGTAAGCTTTCGTTTCAGTTTGCGCTTTTCTCGATTTGATTTTTCAGGATCGAAATCCTCTAGGAACTTCAAATCTTCGGAGCGCTCGCGTAGTCGCCGATCTGACTGTTGTTTGCGTGGCCGTTCACGCAAAGACATACGCAGTGCACCTACACCCTCAGTTAGCTCGCTGTCAACATCCATAATAATATGTAATTTTACTATTTTCTTTTAAATTATTTTGCAATAATTAACTTGAAGATATAAATATTTTTCAGCGCTGGCGTTGTAAATTTTAATTTTTTGACAGCCGGATTATTGATCAGCTGTTTAATATACCTTGTAGTTGCCAGACCAACACTAATAGTTAAACTTTTGACAGCCGGATTATTGATCAGCTGTTTAATATACCTTGTAGTTGCCAGACCAACACTAATAGTTAAACTTATTGGTTGAGGAATTTGCGTGCAACAAATGCTGGTTGAAAGAAATGAAGCGGAGTTAATTATGGGGTTGTTTTCTAAAAAGTAGGTGTTGCCACTTTTTATAAACAGTTTTTAGAAAGCGAAAAGCTGAAAAAAATAATTAAAATAAATGTGGAAATTATTTTTGAACTAAATTTTTATGACAATTGATTTCTTTCCTCCAAAAATATATACTTCTGACTCCGAAAATCTGTTCCAGTAATACATGTATGTAAATATTTGTAGATATATACATATTTACTTCATTGTCATCTATTTTTATACAAAAGCTTTTACTTTCGGTTAACAATGAGCATTTTTTGGCAATCAGTCTAAACCAATCTAGTCTTAGTTTTGGCATGAGCCAACTTACCACTTTCTATATCACAAATACAAATCGATGTTGTTGGAATTTGTTCATTGTTTTTGGTTATAACTTGTTTTAATGCATGTACATATTTATTGCTTTCCAATTACTTATATGTATGTGGAAATAAGTTTATTATCCGCACCTATGTTTATTGATACTTGCATGTGTGTAGTGAGCTCACTCCAATTTAGCGGCTAAGGTGAATATAAAAATTCCAACACGTTCACTCACATTATGAAAGCAATGCATAGTTTCAATACAACAAGCGTTGCCTCAATAATGTCATAACTCAAATATAGAAAACAAGTTTGTTTTTAGAAATTTTTATTCCATACATATGTATGTATATTCGGAAATAATTTTTTTTTTAATATATATTTATTTGCAAACTATCAATTGACAATCAGCAAATTTTTTAAATACATTAATAGTGACAGGATTGATTGTTCTCCATTGAGACTAATCAATATATTCGTAAATTATTTATTTGCTTAAACTTCTTAAAACTACTTAAAATCTATATGGAAGATCCAAAATGTGAGTTAGTTTTAAGCTAACATCCATACGGTTGTCAAGTAAATTTATTGCCAGTAAGTTTTCATGATTAGACAATCTATCTAAATACTTTCGACAAGTTTTGTTGATTTCGTCTTTAACAAAAGGTATATTTAAGTCTTTGTGGATTTCGAAGTTGCTCACATACCAAGGAGCACTTACAATGCTTCTTAAAGTTTTCGATTGATATCTTTGGAGGATTTCAATGTTGGCTATACTCGCCGTACCCCTATAACTGCATTGAATACGTTCGTACTGGCTTAAGGATTGACTTGTAAAGTCGTACTTTATTTTCAAGGTTAAGTTGTGATCGCTGACCTAAAAGACAGTATATTTTTTTATTTTTACATTTGAGTTGCTTCGTGTTTTCTTTTATGTGTATCTTCCAAGTGAGTCGTCTGTCCAAATAAAGACCAAGGTATTTCATAGTTTCACTTTCAGGTATTATGGGGCCATTTAACGTTACGGGGGGACATTTCTCAGTCCTTAATGTAATGTTATTTTTAAATATATGAAAATATTATTTTGCCTCAGCTTAATTTATTTCCAGCAACTCATAACTGTCATACATATATGTGACCTGGTCAACGGAAAGGGTGCTTAGGTGTCAAAAAATCCAAAAAATCAATTTTCACTTTTTAGTTGATTCGGATGGAAGATGAGATTTTTAACAGCTGTTTCCCAGAAAACTAGTTTTCGCACGTTAGCTCCCTTTTCGTAGACCAGGTCACATATGTTTATTTGAAACAGGGCTTTTATTAAGAAACTCAATGCCAACTTTGCATGTAAGGATCCGAAATCGAATTTTCCCAGGGATAAATCGACTAAAATTAATCATTGGCTTTAACAATTGCGCCGTTAGTTCTGCTTTCTCCAGGTTGGATATATAAGCGAAGCAAATGGGTCTGGTAGTGAACGAGGGCAAGACGAAATATCTCCTGTCTTTAAATGAACATCGTCGCACTACCGACTTGGCTCCCATGTCACTGTTGACAGTTGGAACCAACATTAACACCAACAACAACGTCAGCCCCGAAATCCAACGCAGAATAACTCTTGCCACCTGTTGGCCTTCGGACCGAGTAGGAAATTTTGAAGTAAAGTCCTCTCTTGAACCAAATTCTATTAGTCACTCATTATTCCCATTCTGATATATGGAGCAGAGGCATGGACGAAGAAGCAGAGGAAGAGGAAGGCCTCCTCTTCGTTGGAAAGACCTGGCTACATTTGGAATCTCCAGTTAGCACCAAACAGCGGAAAAGAAGAACGACTGTTATAAACTCGGCTATAACCGCGAAAGCCGTGTCCACGCCAATAAAGAAGAAGAATTATAAAATTATATGAAAATATGTATGTATAAATATATATGTATAAATATATATGTATAAATATGTATGTATTTTAAAGGCATCCGATTTGCTGTAAAAAGGAATGCCTTTATTAAGCCCAGACCAGAACACCTTGTACAATTTTCGGGTAAAATTCCATTTCTATTCAAATTAAAAAAAAAATTAATTCATATCGACGAAAAAGTAAAATAAATTTATTATTTTGTAAGCCGCAGTTTTGCAATCTGTTTAAGGTAACTTACAACGAAGAACTACTTTGTTTTCTGCAGCTAAATCTAATTTTAGAAGGGAGGGATAGGATAAGACTTCACTCACGAAGCTATGTAGCTATTGTTGTTGTAGTTTCTAAATTTCATAGAAAAAGACCGTCTTCAAAATATTCGACTCTACGTAATAGGAATGAAACTGGATTTTATCTGGTGAAGGACTCTCAACTTGGCTGCTTCTGCCTAGACTGGTTTAAATTTCGTGCGAAATTTAAAAGTATTTGGTCGTCACATTTTTATGGTTCTCTAGGAAAAAATAGTAACAGTGGAAATTAGTAGTGCTCTCCCGGAAACCCTACAAAATAGATATTCATGATCAGTATGATGAGCTGAGTAAATTTAGTTCTGGCCGATTGTCTGTCCGTCTGTATATGTGCGATTTCGTTTGACATTTTGCACAGCTCCTTTTCTCCCCAAGAAGTTGCTCATTTTCGGAACGGCGAATATCGGATCACTATAGCATATAGCCGCTATACAAACTGAACGATCGAAATCCCGATCTTCTAAGAAAACTTTCAACTAATTATACTCAGCAACCAAAATAGAATTGGTTTAATGTAAATCTGTGTTATTTATATATGTAATATACGTTCGAAGTAGGTTCTTCTATTATTTCGTACAGCACTGTATTTGTTTTTATTGGATTTTTGCATTGTTTCTTTGAGGCAAATACCCTGTGGTTGCATGTATTTACTATTTTAAAATTATTTTTAAACGTATTTACCGTTATTTTGTATATTTTGTTCACACAATGTTGCTTGCACCGTTGAAATAATTGACTAGATGAGGCATAGCCGCTTTCAAAGAGAATGGCGCACAAGCCCTACTTCAGCTATGCCGACATCTTGCCAACTGATCAACAGATTTTTGATGAACAAATTTCGGAAAATAAAATTTTGGTCGTTGTGTAGAGTTTTGCTTTTATTTTTTAATAAA